CTCCCCGCCCGCCCCGTCGCCGAGCGGGAGCCGCCAGCGGAGCCGGAGCCGGGGCAGCCTCCGCCGCCCCCCGCCTGGCCGCCCTGCCCTGCCCGCCCTTCCCCTCCTCCGTCCCACCCAAGCCATGAACTTTGGCCGCGGCCCCCCGGTGGTGTTGAACGTCGGGGGCACCCGGTACTCCTTCTCCCGGGAGGTGCTGAAGGATTTCCCGCTGCGGCGGGTGAGCCGCCTGCACGGCTGCCTCTCGGAGCAGGACGTGCTGGAGGTGTGCGACGACTACGACCGGGAGCGGAACGAGTACTTCTTCGACCGGCACTCCGAGGCCTTCGGCTTCATCATGCTCTACGTGCGGCACGGCCACCTGCGCTTCGTGCCCCACATGTGCGAGCTCTCCTTCTACAACGAGATGATCTACTGGGGGCTGGAGGGCTCCCACCTCGACTACTGCTGCCAGCGCCGCCTCGACGACCGCATGTCCGAGACGTGCACCTACTACACGGCGGAGGAGCCGCCGGGGGAGGCGGGCGGCGGCCCCGAGGGCAAGGGCCGGCGGGCGGCGGCGAACGAGGGCGGGAAGTGGCTGGAGAGGATGAGGAGGACTTTCGAGGAGCCCACGTCTTCCGTGGCCGCCCAGGTCCTGGCCACCGTCTCCATCCTCTTCGTCATCGTGTCCATGGTGGTGCTGTGCGCCAGCACTCTGCCCGAGTGGCGGGCGCCGGAGAACCGCAGCGTGGAGGAGCAGAGCAGGTACACAGCAGAGTCAGTGAGGGAGCCCTCAGGGTAGGAGGATCCTTTATTTTCCCGCTGTCCGCTCCCCGTTGTGTCCCGTCCGCTGTGTCCTGCCCCTCGTCCTGACGGTCCCTGAGTGGCTCTAACCCGCCGCCGGCGGAGATCGCCCGCCCGCCCGCCTTAAAACCCCGGCTCTGAGCCGGGGAGCCGGGGCGGGGGGTGGATATGGGGGTGTCTCGGGGGAGCGGGCGCTGCCTTGCGACCCACCGGGCGTCCCCCCGTGCGGGGCTCGGGGGTGGGAGCGGATCCCCGGGGCAGGCCGGGGTCCGGGCGGGCTGGCGTCGGAGCAGGTGCCGGCGGAACGCGGCTCCTCTGCTCCCGGAGGGTGCCTCCGTCCGTGCGGCATCCCGGAGCTGTTATTCTCACCCCCTTCAGGAGCCACGGGACTCCTTACCCACATCAAGAAGTTCAAACACTTGGAAAATCCTATTAGGTGTTACGGCTGCGGGGGAAAAAGGGAAATAAACCCCTAAAAGAATGCAATTCCCTTCTCTTTCCCTTTGGGGAGAGCACAGCCCTGTGTGTGCTCTGCCCATATTCACACAGGTCCTTCTGCTGGAGAGGATCCAGTGCCTGTTACGGTTCTGCTCTTGTAAAACCTTCTTGTGTGGGAACGGCCTTGCCCCCGTTCCTCTTGCCATCTCAGGGTCTCTATCTGGAGAACACAGGAGCTGATCAGACTGTGCATTAAGGTCTTGCAAATGCATCATCTAAACACCCCGGTGTATGAATGTAACAGATGTTTACATTTCCCTCTGATAAAACGTGTGGAAGCGCGCTAAACGTTGCAAAACATTTGCAGAAACCAGGGCACGGGGTGTAAGGCTCAATCCTGAGCTGTACTAGTGAGAACAAACCCTTTCTCATCTTCTTTGTGACCTCAGCTTAGGGTTACAGCAATGCAACTCTGCTGACTTCAGTGTCATCACACTCTCTCTTCTGTTCCAAAGAGAACAGAATCAAGATAGGTAGGGATTTCTCCCATAAATAAGACTGACACATAAAGAATGAAGGAAACATTTCTTGTATTTGGTAGATTCTCCCTTCTTTTACAACAAACAGAATATTCAACAAAAAAGTTTTCAGCTTCTGCTCAGCTAAAGGGGCCCTACAGTGAAATCGCAGCCTTGTCATTATGAAATCATCATCTTTTACCATAGAGTTAATTGGAATGTGATATATTATATCTTAGTGGCCAAATTAATTCCTTGGAAAGTATTTTCATACTTTCCATTAGTTTAATGGAAAACTGCACCTGTATTTCTCATTGTAGCTGAGCCAAAGATTTAATTGTATGAACAACAAGAAAGGAGATGCACATTGAGAAGCTGTTGATTCCTGCTTAGATTCAGATATGTCACAAGTTGCTCTTACAGGTTCTTCCAGCTAAAAAGCCTTACTTAAGTTTTGCAAGGTTACTTCAAAAGGTGGGATACTCTGGGTGATCTTCTTGTAAGGCAGCAAATTGCTTAGATACCCCCAACAGACAGGGGAAAATCGATGTGACGCTACCGTAGCACTAATGACATCGGTCGCATCTTTGTTCACATCTTCATGGTGTGGGAGTCAACAATTTTTCTCTCACTGAAAGAGTTGAACTTGCAGAGGAACAAGGCATGTGACGCGTAATTTTTCTTTCATAGCAGCTCCTTCAAGAACGTGCCTGTATTATATATACACATAATTTTACTCTTCTGAACCATTGCATATTGTATACCAAGTGTTTGAAGGATAAGGTTCTAAATACTTGTAAGTTGCAGCGTAGTCAAGCACTGCAATAGCTGTGATGGCTCCTTTTAATAGCAGAAGGAACACTGTCAATGGTAGGGTGAATTTCTTCAGTACTGGATGTAGTATACTCTGTGGAATTGCAACCACGAAAAAAAAAAAAGGAGAGAGAACAGTAAAAGTTTGGGCTGAACCGTTTATAACCATCTTCTTGCAAAAATCTGTCGCATATAAACACGGATACAGGCTGGTTTGTTTCATGTGTGACTTAAACTACCTGCTCTCACTGCACAGGCACTGATAGCAATTTAATGGCAAACACATGGAAAACAGATACAAATGTGTTCCTTTCTGTCCGCAGCTGGTCACCTGCTGAGGTGGCCTTGTTCTCTTACAGGAGCCACTCCTTTCCTTATTGCATATGCTGCATCATCACTGAAATGCCTGTTATATCTGGGAAAAAAAGGTGTGAGCTACAATTGCTTTCAACTGAGTGAGCCAGTTTAGTTACAACTACTTACACATGCCATGGGATTTGACCTAACATGCCCAGTTGTCATCTGGCTTTATTTCCCTTTATTTGTTTATATTTTCTTTTGTTTGTAGTTATTTAATTTAAAACGAGTTAGGGTTTCAAAACCTGAGCAGCTAAGTGGCTTATTTGAAAGTTTGACTCCAGAAATCACACAGGAGTGTCTGGGATTGTGTACTCTGGCAACGCTGCCCATCTTAGGTGAGAAGGCTTTTACAAATCTGGCCACTAGTTTCTGACACATTTAAAAATATGAAGCCAAATTCTGCTTTTGTGTTTATTAACCAAGGTTCCTCATCTGAGTAAAGAAATTCTATCTAACATGATAATACAATAATATTTTTTTTTTGTCAAGAGAAATTGTGACACTGATTCTGTATGCAAGCAAATTTTGACTCACACGGCCCTGTAATTACTAGTATGAAGACTTTACATTATTCTAAAACATATTGTTACAAGTTCTAGAAATGAAAATTGAATGGGTTTATGTCTAAGTCCTTCGGCTGTAGATGTTGGATATATCTGACTATTCAGATCAGCATAAGCCACTGCTTAGAAGAGGTGAGAACCACCTTATGAAATTCAGCAATTTTGATAATAGCCTCTCACACACTTACTAATAAAACCCCCTGAGCTTCCCTCAGTGTTACGTTAGAGTTCAGAAAGGTGCTGCTTGGATAATTTCCATGGCTGAAGTGGGGTAACCATCCCCAGAGCTTCTTTGGGCACCTGCAGTGGAAACAGCTCTAGGAGTGTGTCTCCAGCTTCCCTGGACATCATCTCTAGAAGTGAGGGTGTCACCAAGTCTGTAATTTAGAAAATCATCCCCTCTAATGAGGTTTGCAGTGAGGGTTACTGCGGCTGCCAGCTAATACCCAGCTGTGTTTATTTTTCTTGTATGAACACCTCTTCACCAGAAGAAGAATCGAGTCAACCACACTTTTCTCAGAAACCATTGCATTGCTATGACTTTTCATGGTGACCACACTCTCAAAGGGTGAGCAGCCTATGGCTGTTTCAGATCCTTTGCAGTAACACCCTTCAGAGGGCAACAAAGAACTCCACAAGTGAGCCTTTTTGAGGAGAGAGGGATGGGGAATCTGACCTCTGAATTTCACAGATGTTACAGACACAGTATAATTCCCTGATGTGCAGAGGGATTGCCTTCCCCAGGTCCGTTCTCAGGATGAGGGATGAGTTATTAAATTTCATTTCATTAAATTTCATTTTAAGATTTTTTTGCTCTTTTCCCTGCCTTGGCACGTTCCACTTATCAGAGCTAAAGATTTGCATCAGCTTTGCAGTTTAGGAGCAGACAGCAGGGACACCTGTCTCCCCTTCTGTTGCTTCTGGCAATTTCAAGTCATCTTTGCTCTCCTCTGAGCTGTGCCAGCAGACACATACCGCGCGCCTCTGATCAGGGACCTGGCCATAAACTGATCGTAAGCGTAATCTTTTGGGGAGAGCTTCTCAAGCCTGTAATAGGAACTCATTTGAAGCTGCTTGACTTAGTGCCAGCACAGTTCTATCCACCTGCCTTTAAACTCCTTTTCTAATGCTTTTTAGCACAAGGGAGAGGCTGTTGCCCCTCTTCCACTGAGTAATCGTGATTATATTTGCATTGAAAGAATTGCTCGGTTATCACGCCTATATGGTTGCTGTATTCTTAAGCAAAAGCAAATAAACACAGTAACTTCTCCCAAACAGCATCTCTCAACAGATGCCAGCGGGCTTTTTTCTTCATCTCTGCAAAACATCAGCTTAAAAAGTTGCATTTGAATTTTAGACACACAAAAATCATTATTCATTTATGGTGGCAAAATTTCAGAATACCCAAATGCTCACGTCCAACATCTGTTAAAAAAAAAAAAAAAGAAGGACTTCTTTCATGGGTAAGATCTAACCTAACCACCACATTTTCACTAAGTTAAAACAGTAGGCTGAAGGTAAAAAAATGGAACTACAGACCTAAGTTAAAACCATGGACTTCTTCTAATGAATTCACAAGCTTTTTGAAAAACAAGAGATAACAGCCGTGTATCACTGCACGGCCACAGGAGAACCGTAACAAACTCACCAGGGCTAGGTGCCATGCGTGTTCACAGTAGATGGAAAAGATGCTGAAGACCCCAGGGCTCATGATGTTCATATCCAGGTATCCCCCGAGAGCTGTGAAAGGCACTTGTCCCCTCCCTGGGGAGTGCTGGGTCATTACAGCCTCCCACATAAGGCACCCAAGTTGAATGTCTCAAGACATATTATTGCTGCCAAAGCAGGGACAGAAAGGAAACAAGCCTGCGAGGTTTTTAACACAGGGAAAGAAGCTGTTCTGTGGCCCTTACTCTGCAGTTTGTAGTGAGAGAGAAACCGTGTTGATTTCCAAGGGAAAAAAAAAAAAAAAAAGATATTTACTGAAATGACTAGGAGTCTTCCTGAGCAGGAATTTGATCATTCTGGGTACTGTGGGGATGTTTTTCAGGTTTAATGTGCTTTACACGGAAATAGGCTTTAGCAACAATTTAACAAATCAGTGCTGACAGACTTTAATCTTTAATCCTGTCATATACTGTCTTTAATCATAGCATCTGTTTTCCTCATGTGTCCTGTTGATGTGTATGTTTTATTTACAAGCTTAATAGATAACAGTGCCACTAATGAATATTTTGGCTAGATTTCAACCAACTCACCAGGGGATATTGAAAGTACACAAATTGGCATACTGGGGCAAAGAATAATGCTAAATTGAAATGTTCTAAGACATTCACAATATGATTTTTTTTTTAGTAATAACAAACTAGTCTTGATAGTGATTGAAAAAATAATTTCTGAAGTGGTTTAACACATTGTACATAAAATAGCTTATTCTGAGAGGAAGTTATCAGATGGAACAGAAAATTGAACAGTGATGGGATTACAGTAGAAATGAAGCTCACAAAAGGCTTGATTTTCCATTTACGGACAAAAGACTCATTAGAGCAATCTTGAAAGACTTAAGTACCAAGAAGCATAAAATTTTAGGAGAAAACTCCTCTTTCGTGTGCTTAGGTCTGGGACAATGAACAGTAAGTTTGAGCAGAAATAACCTAAAACTGAATAAAAATTAGGACTTATTTTCTCTGATTATTTATAAATTTTGTGGGGAATCATCAAGGAAACACTTCATGAGTTTGTTTTTAATTTTCCTTCTTTTTGAATACCAGCTATTTTAAAACAACTGATGGGGGGAAAAAACCCAACCAAAAACTGTGATGGAAATTTGTAAAATAGATACTACATTTTACCAAATAAAGCTTATGATTTAGTTATATAGTTATAGATTTTAATACAGCATTATTCCAGGAATAGATAATAAAAGGCATTCTGTCCTGTGAATATGCAGCAAATTATTTAAGAATTGATTACAGGAGATACAGTAACTTTAGTCTTCCAAGGGCATGCATTTTATTGGGCTTTAACTTCATACTCAGTTAAGTTCTCTTGAGGATTAACTGTTAAAATTTGTTTTCCTTGTTAGATGTTATTTATCCCTTAACAAGGTTAGCCAGAAAGATAAGTCACTACAAGGAGAGGTAGACTTGATCTAAAAGGGAAACGTAGTATGAAGCACTCCAGTTTTCCCAAAAGGCCAGAGGTTTCTAGTTCTTCTCACCAAAGCACTCACTTCTACATGATTTACCAGGACTGAAAATAAGGGACACCCTTCTTCATTATCTTCTCCCTTGCCAGGATGCACATAATTGATGAGAAGAAGGGAGAAATGGAAGTGCAATATATAATGGAGTGGCAGTAATGCATCTCCCACTGTCCTGATCTTGCTTTGTCTTTTTTGCATCAGTGATATTCCTGAGCTCTCTTCAAATCTGTTCTACAATAAAAGGCTTCTTCAGTCCTTCCTGCTGACGTATAACTGATGTACAGTAGCTCTTGTGCTAGGAACTGCCAGAGTAAAACAATGGATTGATCACGTTTCATGGGTTTTTCCTTGCACAACTATTCCCCAAAGTTATACTGGACCACTGAATCAACGTTGATTCATAAAGGAGATTTCTACTGAATCGCAACAATCAGGACCTGACTTCCTTAAAGCTCAACTCAGGGATAACCTGAGTGATTTGCGACAAAATGGAGGAAACACACTTTTCCAACATTGTCAGGGCATGAGGGGAGGAAATAACCAGTGAAAAAGCTTTAAATTGTATAATCACAAATTGCTTTTTCATTTAAATGCTCCATGTCATAGGATACAGGCAGCTCTGCCAGCGAAATTTCATAAAATGTAAAAAAATAGAGTGTTGGAATTGTTGAATATTCCTGGCTAAAACTTTCTACCCAGACACAGTTTTTCTTTTAATCATTACTGAGATCTGAACTAGCCGATGTGTAAGTACATTCAGACTTTTATCGGTGTGTCCATTACTGTGATCTGCTGTTTGACTGATTTTACTAGGGGAAGTCTTAGGTATTTCCTCATCATCTGTAAAAAGCCTTTAAGAGAATTTACCCATTAATATTTTTTTCTTGATTTTTTTTCCAACATAAAGGAGCAGTAATCCACACTCATACAATAACTGTCACATATTTTGTACATGACTTTTGTTTAGAAGACATTATGATCTGAACATTTTTTAAAAGAAATTAAATCTGCATCTGAGGCAGTTATCACTCACTGTAATTACTAAAAGAAGCACTAATATTTTCAAAAGATTAATTTTTAAAAGAACACATAATTCTTAAGAGCAATCTATTTTTGAAATTCACAGGTCTTTCCATCAAAAGGTGCTAACACAAACAAGTGTTTTATAAGCCCTGTATGAAGAAAGGCCACTTGCTTACAGAACTTCCGTTGTTATTTATGAAAAAAGAAAAACAAGGTCTGATTTTATGTGAATAACTATTTCCTTAAGTAATTAATTTATGTTCATTTAAATTTGCTGTGGCTGGAATCATGATGTTACATCCACTGACCGTTACTGTTTTCTCCATTTTTAAGTGTAAAACTTAAGTGAACAAATGAATAAAATTAAATTAATAAAAAATAAATAAAACTTTAGTACATGAAACTTTTATGGAAGTTATAGAGTCTATTAGTATAATTAGAGAAGTTACAGAAGAATATTGTCTTTCTAACAGGCCACTGTCTTAATAATAACAATAGATTTCAGAACTGGTAAAAAATTATGCAGATGTGTTAGGGAAGCAAAATTTTAGGTTAGAAATGACAGTCAGATTTTTAATTGCAAATCATTACATTACTAGAGACACTACCTTGTTAGGATCCCCGTAGTAGCAAAAAAAAGCTCTGGTTGTATGTTGTACTTTCAAATCCCCAATCTCACTTCAGTTTGGTTTCAGACCTGTTGGTATGAGAAGGCATTGGTGACTGGCTTTTTCTTTGCTCAAACTGTTAGTGAAAAAAGATAAACAAAGGGAAGAGGGAAAGATCAGGTCCCATTCCCTCCTGTATGAAACAAGCGAGCACGGTCTGAATTCTTAAGAAAAGGGTTATTTTCAGATGGGAGATTTGAGACTACACACACAACAGTTATTAAATAACTATATTAAATAACTAATTTAATCTTCTGTTTCTACCCTCCACTGGTTTCAAGTTGAGATATTCTCAAGTCTCATTCACTGCACTGGGACTTGGAAATATTCAGGAACATACCGAAATCGCCTTCGAGGATTCCTTTTCTTTTTTCTTATTTCTATTTGTCAAGAAGGTGATCTTGCCTATTTCTCTGGTTACCTTGACATTCTTGCTGCAACACGTTTATGTGGAGTTACATTTAAAACAAAAGAAAAAAATTCAGTAATGCAGAGCATAGTGGTAAATGTGAGGACACAACGATGAAAAATAAAATACCATCTGTATTTAGTGGCAGTACCTATAAAGTTCTGAATATAGTTCTAGGTAAGCACCTGTTTGGGATGCAAATCAGACAGACTAGTTTAGGTTGGTTCCTGAAGAGCCAATTTGCATGAATTATCCAATGCAAAAGCTAATTTCTTCCCACTCCATCTTCACTTCCATTTTAGTTTTGTAATCTGGTTCTATACCTTGCTGTTCATAACTAGCCAGTGCACTGATCCACAGTCCTTTGCATTCCCCAGTGGATCAAGCCTCACAGACTGAAAACAAACAAACAAATTAATAAAATCCACCAAACTCCAACCAACAACCCCCCAAAAAAGTGTTCTAGATAATGTTACACATTGGCATTGGTGGGATAGGTAGCGGTAGCCGTCTATAATTCAAAGAAAATGATCAGTGAGTAAATTCTTAGCAACTATCAGTGTAAAATCCTCACTAGATCCTCAGGTCAGTTGCTGAAATCTGGTGCTACATGCGTACGATAAGAATAGCCTGGCTTTCTGTTTGTCGTTTGTGAAGCTCTGAGTGTCAGTTTGGTAATTATCTGTGAACAACCCAAACATCCACTAAGGCTTTTGCACAGAACATAAATACTGTACTTTGTTTCTTTTGACAGGATAATTGAAGCTATCTGCATAGGCTGGTTCACTGCAGAGTGCATTGTGAGGTTCATCGTCTCCAAAAACAAGTGTGAGTTTGTCAGAAGACCTCTCAACATCATTGATTTACTGGCAATTACTCCTTACTACATCTCTGTTCTAATGACAGTTTTCACAGGGGAAAATTCACAGCTTCAGAGGGCTGGAGTCACCTTGAGGGTCTTAAGAATGATGAGGATTTTTTGGGTGATTAAACTGGCTCGTCATTTCATTGGCCTTCAAACACTTGGTCTGACTCTGAAGCGTTGTTACCGAGAGATGGTGATGCTACTTGTCTTTATCTGTGTTGCTATGGCAATTTTCAGTGCACTTTCCCAGCTTCTTGAAAACGGGCTGGACTTGGGAACAAAGAATAAGGATTATGCCAGCATTCCTGCTGCTTGTTGGTGGGTGATCATCTCGATGACCACGGTTGGTTACGGTGACATGTGTCCCATCACTGTACCAGGAAGGATTCTTGGAGGAATTTGTGTGGTTAGTGGCATCGTTTTACTAGCCTTGCCGATCACTTTCATTTATCACAGCTTTGTGCAATGCTACCATGAGCTCAAGTTCCGATCCGCTAGGTACAGTAGAAGCCTCTCTGCTGAATTCTTAAATTGACCAAACTTGCATTCTGTTGTAGTTACTTGCTAAGCTTTGTCTTAGAAGAGAATGGTGGAAGGTCCGTTCGCGTGTCCTCCTTGACTGGATGGTCATATGGAACAACATTCTCGCCAGCCTGGAGAAAGCCCGTCACCATTCAGACAGGAAGGATGGCCATCTGCCTTGGGCACCTTACAGGGAGTTTCAAATTTGAGAGAACAAAATTAACAAAAGAGGATTCAGAAGTCCTCAACCAGACTAGTTTGCTCTTCAGTTTGCCTTTCCACACAAAAGCAGAACAAAACATGGGCTTAACACTGAGATCTGTCATTCCCATGATTACATCCTATACCATTCTAAGCAACGTGTAGCAGAAGTTTTTCAAAGATTTCAATATCTAAATGCTCCATAGAGTCATTGACAACTTCTTGCCTGAAGTATCTCCACTTTTAACTCAGATAAGCAAACTAGATACTGAAGGAGAATTGCTGCTACTTTTGAGGTTTGCAACAGAGTAGAGCTGTTCTGTAACTCAGGAAAGATGAAGAACATAGGTCTGTAGGGCAGAAAATCTCGAGGCCCAATTCTGATCTTTGATGAAGCACAATCTTTTGTAAAACCAGTGAAGTCGATGGCATTGCTCTGAATTTCATAATTCAAAGAAGTGCAAGAAGTGCACCTTTGAATGTTGTAGCAAGAACTTCCTTAGCCACAATTAATTTATCTGGAACCAAATCGTTAGTAGAAGCAAGTGTTGTACTTTATGAAGATCAGTATAAAAAATTGGGCATTGATAAATATATTTTCTGGTACTTGGTGAGGGAGCTATCCAAATTTTATGTACATTCAGTTCCACTCCATCCACCTGAAGTTACATACTTGTAAGCATAGATGTTTTTTCCCCCCCTTTTAATTAAACATATACATCATAGTGAAAGTTCTCCAAGACAAATTATAAGATTCCACCACTTGAAACAGTCTGGAGAAAGCACTGGAAAACAAGAGTAGCTGCTTTCTGTCAGATGAGACTTTTCGTCATCTTTAAATTCTGCAATCCTTACTGAAGGATACGCTTTACTATAATGGAAGTTTTAAAAATAATTGTAGAAAGCCCAGAGCATACCAAAGAAAGTAAAATATAGACGTGTGAGTTGCACTCGGCAAAATGGTATATTCTCCAATGTAACTAGAAAATGAAAATGAATCAGGTTAGGTTCTGAATATATTATTCACTACATTTCTTGTGTAGTACCGCTTAATAGAATCGTTCAGTATAATTCTGAAAGGCTGCTATATAGAAATGTGCAGTTAGATACTAAAACACATTACGGTACAGCTCTACAAATTTGGCTACCAATAAACATCAACAGGGAGCTTTGTTATTAACATGGAAGTTCAGAGTCATCAGCATAGTTGAATTTGGTGTGCTTGCCTGAAAATACTGCATTTACTATTACTGTGCTGTAGAAGCATCTTTTATATACATATTTGTTAAAAGCTTTAGAAGTAAAACGACTACCACCTAGAAAACACATCTCTGGAATTGCTCACTCAAAGAAAAGTACCATGTTGGTCAGTAACCAGTACATTGAAGGCTTCACTCCGAGACCTGAAAAATTCATTATCATTTTTAGTGGTCTTAGTGTTTAGTAGTCTTAAAGAATTACATTGCAAACAAAAGTTTTCTGGAGACCTGAAAAGAATTTTAGTAGCTTTGTTACAGACAAGCTTGACTTTTCCTTCAGTAGTTTTTCAAGACTAAATTATTAAATAACGTTACAGCCATACCTCTGTTTCTTGCCACTGACGCGTTCTGGTGTTCAGGTTAGCTCTGTAGTTCCTGTACTACTATATTTATGCCTTTTATATCAGAATCATGTCGTTCAGAAACCGGCTCCAGCATTCCACAGAGAGGTGAATATGAGATAAGCAAAAATTTCTTTCTTGGGTGAGATTCACAGCTGATGTTAGTTAGGCAAGTTGTGACTTCAGAGACACATAGATGTTTTACACCAGCGGAGGTGCTGGCTCCATATTCCTGCATGTGTACCTATATATATCCTGCATATATTATATATTATAGTCAGTCAAAATGTTTTGGTTTTTTTTTTTTTCTTTTCTCCTTACAAAAAATTTCCTCCTTGACAAAAATCGAAATTTCAGACTTTAAGCCAAACACAGCTGTTGAAGAAAATGACATTTTCATCTTCTAATGAAAAGTTTATTTTGACAGTATCAAAATCATTTTCAAGGAGAAAATCGCTATCTTTTGGTATTCTGCTCCATTTTTTTTCACCATTAAAAATAGGTAAAAAAAAAAAAACCACATAAGAACTTAGCCCTACAGATTTTCATATGCTGTTTTTAATGCTTGGGAAAAATAGTGTTTTTCATAAAACGCCTTAAAACTTACTTTGTCTTTTGTCCGTGTATTGTATTTAACCAAACCAATACTCTGAGATACAACCCTCCTCCCACAAAACGCCCAAACCATCATCATGATGACAATAGTTTGAAATCCATACAGAACGTGAATGTACTTTAAAGTATGTTCCAATCTTAATTTCAAGACTAAAATGCACTTCAGCACTACCCATAAATCTAATCTTTAGATGCCCGTACAAAGGAAAAAATATAAATTACTACACATAATAACTTGTGAATACCAATTTGCAACATGAATCATTTTGTATAAGCAATTAAGGACAGGAAGTTTCCAAAGATCCAGGCTATATGTGGTACACAAACAAAATGTTTTTATACAACTTTATAAAGGGATTTCCAGCTATAGAATCCTTTCCCAGTGTAAAAATATTACCTAATGAAAATAATCTTGTAAAGGAATAAGTCTGTGGAGATTATTTTAAGTCTTTTTTTTTTTTTTTAAACAGCTTATGTTCACTTTTTATATGCTAAAATGTGAACAGAATGACCTAATGTATTTTTTGAGTTACAATAAAATATTATTTCGAAACTGCTCTCTATATAAGCCCACTAAGGAGAGATACTGGGGTGGTTTTATTTTTTGGCTTTTTTATTGTTGTATGGTTATCAGTGTGTAGAATTTAGTTTCCTTAGAAACCAAGTGGAAGTAATGTGATCTCAACAGTAGCCTTAAAACAGAATTTTATAGAGAGTACATAGGGTTCCTGACTTCTAGTAATACGTCATCTTATTTTCAACAGGACAGTGGTTTTTTAGTGAAAATTAAAAAAACCTGAATTATGTGTGTAATCAAAAATGAGCATAATTTTAAACAGATGAAACTGTTTTACTAAAAGTTTACTTGAGACCATGTGTTAAGCAGGCATGGGGTACAGCGCTCTGTTTCGTAACTGAGCATTTTGGAGCCAAGTGAAGACAAACTGGCTCAATTCTAGTCATTGCCAGTTTGAACCCTGTACAGTAAAATACTTCATGGGCAGTACCTTTTCAGTATCTTGAAACATTCACAGTTGGAACAAATTTGATGAAACACAAATATAGTGAAAAGGGGGATAAATGAAGACAGCTCATATAATTGTGATCCAGCCTTTCTCTTCATCTTAAACTAAAGCCAGTGCCAGTGAGTTTTGAACTGCTGTTGTACGTTTTGATGACAACAAAGGTTAATCACACATTATATACCAGGCTCAATTCTTAGGGCTGACCTGTTGGGAACTATATATTGGCTGCAATCCTTCAGGGTACTGCATGCCACTTAAAAACATTTCATCATTAATAAAATCACTAGAATGGAGAGCTGTCTGCTTTTCCTGCTACAGTTCTACATGAAGCACCATCCCAAAAATCACAAAGGCTGGAGGGTTAAAATTTCCCTTGATGCAAGACTTGGAAATGATATTGTCTCGATGAATACCCACCAAATAAAAAACAAAGATTAATTTGATTGATGATTTTAAACAGTTTTATCAGCACAGGGATGAGCCATTTACGTAAGTGATATTCATTCTTAACTCTACAATGGCTTATCTTGGTGTACGTAGCAGCAAGTTTGAGGAAGATGAAAATCCTGTTTACGCAAGCTCCATATCTTGATACCCATGTATTCAAAGGAAAAGGTACTGGGTTTCCATATCGTGTATGCAATTTGTGCCTGTAAAAAAATCGGTCTTCAGCTTTTGGAGTGTTCAACCCTCATGTTTCCAAAATAAAACTGAAGTCCTTATGGGTTCAAAACACTTGTCTTTTCCCCTCCGGGTAACAACTACAAAAATCTTACCAGATCTGAACGTCTGCCAGGAAGTGGTCGTATGCACACACCAGCCAGCTAAATTCAGCAGCCAAACCAGCCAGTTTCCTGGGAACCGGCACAGCGTACAAAGTCTGCTGTGCTCTGAATTTTCTCCAACCTAAGAGCTTCAGGATAAAACTCCTGATTAAAGTTTGATCATTTGAAGTACCTTGAAAATTTCAGAATTAACCTTTCAAATGAGCTTCTAAGGAGACATTTGCTGGGAAATTAAAAATAAGCTATGCATAGCAAAAAAAGATTATATTGCTTTATATAAAAAAAAAAATCACTATGATCTTAAAAACGGAAATTGATTCTCATTTTCTGTTATTTGTTTGTAAAAGCAAACATGCAGGTCAGTATACTTGATGCTAGTTAAACTTCCTACATAAAACAGATCCCTGTTTAATATAAGTAGACTTAGTAGGAAAGGTCTTCCAGCTTTGCTAGAGCTGTAACAGTTTACACGAGCTGAAGAGCTGCCCCAGCCCATATGGAATAAAGAACAAAACGCCGGTTTCATAGTGCAAAACTAACATGATGTATGGCCACACAAAGTAGGGAGTATCTTTTGCAGATGACAGATCAAGAATGCTGCACAGTGAGCCACCAAGACTGACAATCCGCTTGACAAGGAATTTTAAGAGCCACAGAAGAAGGATATTAATTCTTGGTCAAATGAATAAAATGTGAATGTTTGCAACTACACATTGTAGACTCCTTTATTCTTTACAAACGCAAAGAGTTATAATTTTATAGAATGTTATTTTATATATTGTTTGCTTATCTGTAAAGAAAAATGTATAATATAATTTGAAAAGGTAATAAATGTGGTTTTTTGATGTGAGTACACAATTAGATGCATAAAATCATGTAATAAAATTTGCTGGTCTTGTTGCTATATTTCATGGACTAGTGGTCAAAACACAAATGTTTATAAAATGTGTTCTTTTTAACAAATGAATTCTGTGGCTATTCACATTGGTATTGTACCCAGGCAAAAACTTTTTTCCTTTAACAATTTTTGGCTACCAAGCAGTCTGTCATTTAGAACCTAGGAGTTATACTCAATAGAAAATTTGAATATTTGGTCTAGAAGTTAGTCTGAGACAAAAAATAAAGTTAAACCTACACAGAGTTATTCTTCAGCAACTGAGTATCTATTATAATTATGGACAACAGAACTGTCAAAACAAAATGAAAAAGCAGCCATGTAACACATGTAACACATACATTATTCCTCAGGGATTATTTATAGGAACAAATCTGGCAAAATGGACTGAATTTGGCTTCAAGTTCACTGAAATTTATTTATATTTTAAAAAATCCACCCAAATCACCAACATGGTGATCATTCTGGAATTTCAAAACAACCATAAGTTTCACCAGTGCAATGCTTGCATTATTGTGAAGGGATCTGAGACACTGTGGTGATTCTTTAAATGTAGCCTTTGAAAAGTACTTCCAAAAATAATCACAACTAATGTTCTTTTAAATAAAGTTTGAATATTTTAAGAGATCACTGAATTATGAACTATTCTGGCACCAGCCCACTGCATTATTATGAAAATGAACAGACTTCGTTTAGAAATCTTGAGTGTTTTTACTTCTCATATTTTATTTATTAGTTTTAAAAGTTTTACATAAAATCAATCAGTGAAGAACTTAAGCAGATGTCCACATAGTCATATATTTTAGAAGTGTTTTTCTAGAAGAACTTCTAAAGTATTTTGGAGGCAGAAGGGTTTTTAAATGCTTTAACTCTGTTATTATTTTACAGATACGCTCAACACTTGCACCTCCTAGCAATCTGAGGTGAAACTGTACATATATAGAACTCCCCAAAATCAGATTGATTCTTGCTGTCTTGGGGAACATTTTATACGTGTGTTTGCCATAAGAATTTTAAAAAGAAACAGTAAGAGGTTCATTAAAATCTAGGAAAGCTAGAAGTTCAAAATTGGAATTCTTTCCCTTGTACCCCAGAAATCCTCCACTTCAGCCTTTATATTTCTTTTCACTGGTCTTTTACCAATATTGAAATAGCAGCTAGGAACTACAGTGAGGACCAGGCTTCTGTTGTACTAATGCTCTGCAGCCACGGATCAAAATTACAACGCTGCTCCTAAAAACCATATAATCCAAGACTGAAACACCAATCAAAAACTCTTTGCAGACAACAGTGCAAGCAAACAACATGGCATCTCTCTGTAGCATGAGTGTAGCTTATATATTGAGTCTGATATACTTTTAAGTACTAAGTGTTCAAATACGTATTTTTTTTTCCTTTTTAATTTAATGAGGCTCCCAGAGTATGCAGCATTTAGAAGACAGTTTTTTCTACATTGCTAAAGCCTTGTCAGCTGCACAGTCTCTATCCGTGACTTTTGTTGTTAGGCTTTAATATTTTAACTTGATGTCATTTGATGGGATACTATGAATGAATAAAATTGGGGCCATTGTTTATTAAAATAGCACCTTGAATCTTTGCTAAGGATGCTATCATATAGATGCCATATAAGAGTAATCAAGAAATACAATCCCAACAGTGTATTCCCTAAGTATAGTCATGCAGAGGCCTGCTGAAAAGCATCAGTAACAAAATTACTTAAATTAAAAAAACAAACAAAACTAAACAAAAAGTGTGGATTCTTGCCAGAGGTTCTTGCATATAAGCCTCAAACGTATATAGATTCCTTGAGTATCCCTGCCTCTGGGTACAGTGTGAGTAACATCTAGCTAAGATGCATTTTGCTTTGTTTTAGAAAATCTATTTGTCATCTGGTTTGTGGAAGAAAGTCTTGGATGTAAATGCCGGGTTGCCCACAACACAAGACCAGGGACCATGAAGCTCATCTGCTTCCCTCACTATAGTAGACTCAATCATCAGCATCTCTGTCTTGTTTTCTTAGACCTTCCCCTTTCTCCTTTCACCTGATCCTCACTCAAGAAGCACTTTGGTTAAACATTAACATCCAGGGACTGAGATTGTTGTTACCTCTGCCTTTGTCTTCATACAGACTGTCCCATTCACATCTCAAATGCAGTTCAACACCAGATTAGATAGCTGAGAATAAATATCCATACACTTCTCTATCTCAGTGTAGAATAGGAAGCTCTCTCCTCCACCACAAATGTCATATATAATAGTAAGAAACAGTTATGCAAAGCAAAGCTTTTACAAAGCAATACAAAATGGCCTAAATCACCCACATCCCACCCTTCATCTACAGTTTTATCCTGGCCCCTCGCATCCCGCAGCCCATTCAAATCCACTCACAACTCTGCAGTAAAGATCACCAATTTGCATTTGGCCACCTACTCCTGCCAACATGAGTGGACCTGACAGCTGAACTGCCAATGAGATGTCGGAGTTACAGATTTGTACTTCTTTACTTTTTGGTTGATTACTCTAAATTGCTGTTTCTACCAAGAAACTGTAAAGCAAACTGGCCAAGCTTGGACAGTGCGTTTCCACTGGCTGGTCTACTTCCACCAGCATATGATAGAGTCATACTAGAAGCAACTAACAACCTTGGAAACTGGTAGGCTTTCACTCTAGTAGTAAAGATCCCAGTTTAAGATCCATAGGAGGAATTTCTGCTTTTATGTTCCCTGCTTTGGGGATTTATCCCCACTTAAGAGTCCAGGATCGTCACGTGAACTGAAAGAACACTGCAGAGAGCAGGTGGAAGACTAATTAATGAAAAAAGGAAATGGCTAGAGGGATAGGGAAAGGTTAAAAAGAACTAAATGCAGCAGTGCAAAAGGCTCAGGGACAGTAATGAAGTCCTCTCTAAATGACTCACCAAAAAAGACCATACAACGCAGGTAACTCTCGAACACTAAACAGAAAAGGACAATGCTGTGCTTTTCAGCCCTCTTCCCCATCACTGCTGCTGTCCTGCCATACTCCCCCTGAAAACACATCTTTGCTTTCTTCCTTTGCAAGACTTTTTCCATCAAACTCCTTTCCTCTTTGGTTTTTACCCCTTTCCCTAGCTGCCCCTTTTTCTTTCTGCCACTAACCGCACTGGCAGGTTTCTGTGCTGGCACCAAGTATTTCTGAAATTGCAGTGCCAGCCCGCTGTCTGCCATCCCACCTTGCCCATTGTTTTTTGGCCTACTGTCATTTCTATAGGTATATGCTTATGTAAATAGAGCATCCTGCTCTTCGAGGAACTGTGCTAAAAAGCAGTTCCCTGGTTCACTCATCCCCGGTAAGTGTAATCCAACTGGTATGTGCCTACTTTGCTACAAAGAAAAGCTTTCGCTCGTTTCTTTGGGTTACACAATGTGACAACAACTTGTATTGCCAACATTTGTCATTTACTACTTCCCTCTACATGTTTTCTGAATGTGTCTGCTTGCAGACGCAGTCTCTCAGATCAGATCAGGAGAATAAAAGAGAATCTGGCACCTTATCATGCAACTCAGCAATCGCGTCTCTTTCTGTTGAGCGCTAATGACTACCGAAAAGCATAAGGCATCCACACTAAGGGGATCCAGGGACTGCATTCTGCAGGCTACAACTCAAACTACACACAAAAGCAAATACAGGGCTTTGACTTAAAACTTTCCCAAAAGTTACATCCTTTCCTTTCAAAGATGACCACTGGAAACTTCCACAAACGTTTGCCATCTCGGCATGGTGGGTCCCTACCTCACCTTTAATCATGATAGCTGGTATGGGAAAACACAACCATTTACTGCTTCCACAGGCTAAAGTTGTGGTCAGCACTGTGTCAGCCAACTCCTCCTGCTCTAAGGCTAATTATAACACACGCAGCAAATGCTGCTGTGTTCAGCTCTATAACTTGGGCTCCCAAATCACTTCTTTATCCATCTCCTACTATTTTAAAGCAGGATATACTACAAACAATACTACTTTGCTTTTAAAAACAGTACGAAACGGAAGCTTAGCTGAAGCACCATAAATTGTTTTGGAGACTAGAGCAAGAAGATAAGCACCACAGTACTTCATTAGGCCTTTCCCCTGCTCAAAGGAGAGATACAGTTCTGAATCAAAGGATGTTCAGCTTGAATGTTACAGTTCAGACAGAAAACTGAGTATGTCCATTGTAGAAGCCTGCAGTTATTTACCAGTACTCATAAATAATCCCTAAACTCTCTACTAGGTCTTTTATTTCCTCCTCACCTATCAAGTGTGCAAATAATGAGTTTGGGTTTTTTTTTCCAACCAGCTTTAAGAAAGTTGTTTAAGCTTTAAAGCTGCAATCACCCAAAAAGGAACAAAAGGGAACAGACATAGGTATTATTCCAAAGTTCAATTTGGTTTACGTGTGAATCAAAGTCAGCTCTCAGATTACATTGAAAATATATGGGACCTTAAGTAAAATCTTTTTAATAGCATTTGGAGAATGTTTCCCTTGTCTCTGCCCATAAAACTTTCCTGTAAGGCAAGCGCGTAGATCTCACTCCTAATTCATTTCTCCCTGAAGCACCACAAACATGATACTATAATTCAATAGCGTAGTGAAAGCAGACAAAGAACCTGGAGTAATTTGGTTCCCGTTATTTTAGTGTAATCTCTACACTATAAGGCAAGTGATAAGTCTGTAGGTTCAAATTATATTAATCTGATGCCATCTGTTTGGTGGCAACTGGATCTGGGACAAGCGATTTAATGGCATTAAAGCGGTGCCCCCAGCAATTTTGAGGATGCATAGAAGCAAATTTCCATTCTGCCTTTGAACAGTGAGCAACAAATACTTTTGTCTGAAAGTGATGGGGAACCCTTCAGGAAACCATAATCACATCAGCTCCACACTGCAAAATCTAAAAAGAGAACTACATTGGGGAGGGGAAACAATCGAGAGTATGCAAAGGGAAAAGCAAGTAAAATCATGCTGCCAAATCTCTGTTTCCACACCTCCTCACCACCCCTTTTTAGTTCCCTCAGGCTGCAGCATAGGATATAGCACTCTTAAATGATCATGCCTGCACCACCAATGGTACTGCAAACTCCAATACTCCCTGGAAAACCAGAACTCACATTCTCCCTTTAAAAAAGCCCAAGCTCCTATATATTGAGCCAAATGAAACTCTCCGTTAGCAATTGGCATCACAGAACCTACGCAAGACAAGGGTGCCAGATACAGATCAGCAAAATTTGCTGTGAAAAATCTTTAGGAGGGAGGATGTTGTCAAAAGACATGTTTTCAACAAAAAAATTTATTCCGATATTAAATGTGGTCAGCAATTGACTCACACTGCTTCCATCCACGTACACATACCTACACTCACACAGGCCACCTCTTGCTCGGGAGAAAACTATAAATAAAGATGCAAAGTGCAGTACGAATAACCCTTAATCTAACTATAGGCTCTGTAAGGCTGTGAGGCTCTGCCAAAGAAAAGCTCCTGCACAATGCAGAGGCAGATGTTGCAGGCAGCATTTACTTGGAGGGCTCCCTATTTCTGCAACTCTCCAACCCTTTAATGTGTGCAAGGACTTGGCTCAGGAACAGTTCCTTTCAGCTTTCCCTGCTGTT